AAGGAGGAATGGCAGAGGATCCCCAAATGCAGGTGTGAAAACTTGTTGCATCATTCCCAAAAGGACTCATGGCTTCTAGAAGGGTGCTTCTACTAAATACTGAGCAAAGGGTCTGAATACTTATGACCATGTGATATTTCAGTTTTTCTTTTTTAATAAATCTGCAAAAATGTCAAAAATTCTGTGTTTTTCTGTCAATATGGGGTGCTGTGTGTACATTAATGAGGAAAAAAATGAACTTAAATGATTTTAGCATATGGCTGCAATATAACAAAGAGTGGAAAATTTAAGGTGGTCTGAATACTTTCCGTACCCACTGTATATGGCCACCGCTGCCAGTGAGGCTGCACAGGGAAATGATAGCCCTGGATTAAGTTAGTTAGGTTGTGAAATGGTTCCAGATAGATTTAAATAAAAAGTAAAACTGAACTTCAGGATCCCTACTGCTGTAAATGTACTCTGTATTTCCTTCCACTAGGTAGTTGATTATCTGTGTTTAGCTGTTGTCGTGTTGTCGTCCCACTTTATTAAGCTGTCAGCATGTGTTGCTAGTAGAGACAATGTACCCCAGGGAGTCTCAGTCATAGCCACATCTGCTATACATGTTCTAACATGACACCATTCACAGCTGATGACCAGAACATATAATAATCTCTAGCAGCTGAGCACTGGGAGAGAGAACAGCATGCTCTTTAAAATACCGGTATTATATAATGGAATACCTCAATTAGATGTTTAAATAAAACACCTACAGCAGTTTCACCACAGGCAATTTATAAATTAATTATATCTTGGCCTTTAAGTCACCTATTTTTGGAATAAGCAGCACTGTTTTAGAAAGGAGGGACAGCAAGACTGAGTGCAAGAGGAGTAAGATGATATTTTCCAGTAATGAACTGTGAACTAAATCAAATACATTTGCATAATTTTGAGTTAGCCATGTCTGCTAATCTCTCTGGTAGACTCACAGGAAGGGCATGTCGTTTTTCTTTTCTCAGGTGTGAGGATGTTCAGCAAGACTTAACCCACATGCTTCACATCAAATCTTATCACCCTGCTATGTATTTTTCTTTATCTTATAACGGCACATTTGCAGCAGAGTTTTTTTAGAAGGCAGAATGTCCTCATAATGATGGCATTGAATAAAAATGATCAAAAGTAAAGTATTAGTAGATGCAAGTTCTGCAGGAGTTGGTTCCAAACAAGAGAGCAACTTGTTAGCGTGGAAGTGATTTGTTTACTACAGCAATATTTGGGCAATGTAAGAGGATGGTAACAACAACAATTAACTTCTCATGCTGTTGTTTTTATCATTATAACCATAATTCTTGCAGAAATACTCGTCAATATTATGTTAATTTAAGGTATTGCCACCCAGTTTTTCCTAAATCCTTTATTTTCCCTCCTCTAGTCACAATCACAGACACACAAACACAAATGAAAACATTTTCACACCTGCATACAGGTATAGACACACGCTAACCTCTCCTTCCTCCTCAACTTTGGAGAAGGTCACCATGTCTGCAGGGCTCAGGCCACTAATTAGGACTTGGAAGAAAGCATCATTAATAATGAATATGCAGTATTATATGTACATGGTGTGAGCCTGAGCTGGAAGATGAGGACAGCAAAGATGAAACTAAAGGACAGACATATTGTGTTACTTTCTCTCACCTCCCACCCGCTAAATGTCATTTGCTTCCTCCGTCAGTCGTCAGGTCACAGTGTGCATGCCTCCTGCTGTTTCAGCCACACACACAGCCTATGTCTCGCTGCTGTTTACAGAGTACAGATGTTTGTGATTATTATTATTACTATGCATTGTTTGTAAATCTGATGCCGTTACGCTGAGAGCTGACAGGAATACTTGTCCTGACTCCATTTGCTCTAACTCAGCTCGGAGTCACTTATTAAGGGAAACTGCATAAGCAAAAATCAATAGGAAATCAGTGAGATTAAATTATCAAATTTAAAGCTTTATTGATTAGCTGTTAATCAGATTCTGGTTTAATTTGAGGATAACTCATGGATTATGGGGAAAGAACCCCATAATTCACTCAGGAACAATAAACCTTCATGCCTGGGGACAGGGGGCGCAGATCAGCCGCTGGAAGACAGCTGATACAGAAGCAGTAAATACAGAATATACTGATTTTAAAGGGCAGAAAATTTGGATTTTTCTAATCAGCTTTGTGCTTAATATTTCTAAAGTAAACAACAGGTCTAGTAAACTTCTAAGAGCGCCCTTGGTGCCCGTTAGGTTTAACATGGGTCAAAGTGAGGATGGTTGTAAATTTTGATTTGCATAGTAAATGGTGAATCCTTAATAATAATTAATATATTCAGATTGTCATAAATCAACGTCAAGTAATATACAGTGAGGAACAGAATTATTTGAACACCCTGCGATTTTGCAAGTTCTCCCACTTAGAAATCATGGAGGGGTCTGAAATTCACATTGTAGGTGCATTCCCACTCTGAGAGACAGAATTTTTTAAAAAAAGTGCAGGAAATCACATTGTATGATTTTTAAAGAATTTATTTGTCTTGCACTGCTGAACATAAGTATTTGAACACCTGAGAAAATCAGTGTTAATATTTGGTACAGAAACCTTTGTTTGCAATTACAGAGGTCAAATGTTTCCTGTAGTTCTTGACCAGGTTTGCACACACTGCAACAGGGATTTTGGCCCACTCCTCCACACAGATCTCCTCTAGATCTGTCAGGTTTCGGGGCTGTCGCTGAGCAACGCGGAGTTGAAGCTCCCTCCAAAGATGTTGTATTGGATTGAGGTCTGGAGACTGGCTAGGCCACTCCAGAACCTTGATATGCTTCTTACGGAGCCACTCCTTGGTTATCCTGGCTGTGTGCTTTGGGTTGTTGTCATGTTGGAAGACCCAGCCACGGCCCATCTTCAATGCTCTGACTGAGGGAAGGAGGTTGTTGC